ATATAGAAATATTTGGATGCTTTCAAATCGTAAGCGCACAAACCCACCAAATTTGTATTCGATCACTTTCGATCTCATTAATATATAGATATAAATTTACATAATGTACATTTTTTTATTACAAATTACCGTTAAATGTGCAAAAGTTGTAGGAAATACAACTGTTTATATCTAAGTATAGATCATTTCTTTTTCGCTTTTACCATATAATATAATTATGTATATAAATTTATATTTATATAAGTTAATTATAGACAACTTATAATTCCAGATAGATACAATAATTAATATTATTTACAATAAAAGAATTTAACGAAGAAGAAACATTTGCGTATAAAAGTAGATTATTTATAAAATTTCCAATTCTAAATGGTCTATAAATGATGTAGACAGATTACGATTGAAACATTGTTTCTTAGTAAAATATATTACCAAGTATGAAATAAAACATTCTAATAATGAAAGTTTTTTTCTTCGTGAATTAATTATCTTTCAGCAATCATCATTACACATAGAAAATTAATTAAATTTAATTAAAATTAATTAAAATTAATTAAATTTAATACAGATAAATACATATTTATTAACATACACAAAGCAATATCTTCTAATCAATAAATAAAGAATTTAAAATAAGTTAAATTATATCTACAAAATATAAAATCCTCGCCGCTAGTTACGAAATTTAGTTACAAAATTTTGATATTTATGTAGTGGTTCCAAAAATTATTGATATTGTGTTCATTTCAAAGAACACAAATGGATATCGAAATACATTACCAGCTAAACAATTCGTTCAATTTAAATCCTCTCACACAGATTACAGTCATACACGATTATTTCTACCGTCAGAATGTCATGATATTAATTCGTTCGATAATTTTGATATTATCGCATCTCATAAACTCGACATTTTTATATAAAATAATCCCCGACTTCATCGATTTAATTTTTGAATAAATAACGTTTGTTTTTCTCCATTTATCTGAATGTCTTCGTATTAATTTCTATCAACAAAATCTTTATTCTGAAAATTTCGTAATTTATCAAATCAAATCGTATTTAATTGTAAGAACAAAGATAATATTAGATCAAAGGGATCAACATTCGAGGGACGTACAACATGGACGATACTTCCGTTGATTTTGGCTTCAGATTATATGATTATAAGGAATTAATTTCTATCTAGCATAAGCGATGACGAATATGTAATAACGTTATTCGTGGCTAACATATATCTGTGAAGTTTCGTTGCTTCTCACTTGTTTTCGCTGTTCTTACTTGTTCTCTTACACGAATATAAATTGTTACATTTGGTATTCTATCTTTCCTCTGTATACGTGGATCTCATACATGACTCATAAATGTACGGTTTTACCTACACACAGACGATTCAAGTAGAAGTCAGTTCATTAGGTTTTAGATACGGAAACATCGCAAATAATATAATGAAACAAGATAACAAATGGACTTGTTTGGCAAACACTAGAAATTGAGAAAGATTTGAAAAGTAAAAATGAACGGAACATTTCAAGGTGATATCAGTTTAATCGATAATACAATATATAATACCAATTCGATATTAGTTCGGAATAATATTTATCTGAAGAAATAGTAATCTTATTATTACGTCAATGTAATTGGAAACTTACGTAGGCACATATCTATATTTTAAAAATTTTATTTTGCGCGCTTAGAAAAGGTATCAAACAACTTTTACTATTAGTTTCAAATTGGAGTAATAATTCTTTTTTTTGTTCCTTAGTAAGTAAACTGTAAAACGAAATTCTAGTCATAGAGGATTAAACGTGCTGACTTGAAATTGGCAATACTATGATTGGCAACCTATTTAATAGAAATCTCGAACTGTCGTTACGATTGTTCAACATTCAGATTACACGAAATAATAGATTGCTTGTATCTACCATGGCGTTCCGTATCAGTTCCGGTTTCCGGTGCATCAGTTATAATAACGATCACCGTTTTAAAGTATTTCAAGTACACCATTTCTTTTTCTATTATTTAAACTCGGTGTTATTCCTACTTTCATTTACGAAGTTGTTCCATTTATCAAATGACGCATTGAATGCGCACATTCGGAACGTACATAACTTTATATTTAGCTAAATGAAACAGCAAAAGTCGTTTAACCCAGATTTTAAGGAAAGTTATTGATATCCATGTACGACGTTTGATTTATGTAAACGAACGGGAAAAAGAAGTTCATCGGTCGAGATTGGTCAGCTTAATCTCGTCCAGGCTCCGATCGCGCCGCGGTATTAGACTAGATAATCTGAGGATTAAAGGGAGTGCCCGTTAATCCATTATTCACGTGACATCTGCCATTCAATGTTCTATACTGTTCCAACGGTGTTTTCACTACATCTCTTTCTCTTGATATTACTTCAATTTACTTTGAACTTAATGAGATTTCCCATTAAAACTTTGCACGAATAAGAACATAGCATCCACGTAAAATATTCCACAGACTGAGTTATACATACAGGATATAAAGTAGTAGATTATTAAGATTTTTTTTAAATCAGATTTTATTTTCGATTTGTTTGTACTTTCACTTATTGTATTTCTTTAACTCAATCTCAATTCATTTGGATTTTTTTAATTCAGATTTTGCAAAGTATAATTTTATAAAGAAAAAGAGAATAAATATAAAATTGTATGAAAAATAGTCCTAGTTACTTTTTCAGAGTCAATTTTGAACCTTGTACGGCATTACAGTTAGACAAAATATAAAATAGCATAGTGTTCGATGATTTAGTTGCTTTCGATTTATTTGACTTTGCTTATTAAGATTCTTTCATTCAGACTGTATTATATTTATGTGAATATACAGTGTATACGCGAAATATTCGATATCGATACTATATAGTTATGAGATATAGAGTAATTCTTTGGATAATTAAAATCGCTTAATTCAGGTATTTTCAATTTGTTCGACTTTAGAAAATTCTTTAATTCAGATTTAATTAATTCGTACGAATATAGTATCCATGTAAAATATTCTACCGATACATACATACAGATATATATATATATATATATATATATATATATATATATATAT